TCTATATTTTCTTTTCTTTATTCTCCTCTCCTCTCCTTTTCTCTTCTCCTTTCTGTCCTCTCCTATATTTTCTCCTCTCCTCTCTTCTCTCCTCTATATTCTCTTCTCTCCTCTATATTCTGTCTTCTCTCCCCTTCTGTTCTTCTCTCCTTTATTTTCCTCTCTCTCTTCCCTCCTCTTCCCTCTTCTTCTCCTTTCTCTCCTGTCCTCTATTTTCTTCTCTCTTCTCTTCCCTCCTCTTCCCTCTTCTTCTCCTTTCTCTCCTGTCCTCTATTTTCTTCTCTCTTCTCTTCCCTCCTCTCCTTTCTATTCCCTCTCTTCTCTATATTCTCTTCTCCTCTATATTTTCTTTTCTCTATTCTCCTCTCCTATTCTCTCTCCTCTTCTTTATATTTTCTTCTCTTCTCCTCTATATTTTCTTTTCTCTATTCTCCTCTCCTCTCTCCTCTCGTAATAGATTTATCAGTGTTAAGGAGGCCCATTTGGACTCTCCAGTCCAGTGTTTCTCACCTTCAGCAACTTTTAAGAGGCCCAGAATCCCCCGGCCCTCCCCCCCGTTTTAAAGTTGCAGATATGGAGAAACGCCCCCTCTATAGCTTCATCTCCTGGTTCAACGACTCCCACAGGGGGAGTTTCTCTTTGGGGTCCCGAAGCACCATTCGACTCCAAAGCCCATCATCCCCCTCACCTCACCTTGGCCTGCAGCCCCAGGCGCAGCTTGATCAGGTGCCGGAAGGGCACCAGGTCCGGCGCCGCCACGGCCACGTTCTCCAGGAAGGTCAGGGCCCGCGGGAAGTCCGGGAAGCGGCGGGCGCAGACTACGTGCCAGGCGGCGGCCGCCACCACTCGCAGGGCCTCGGCGGGGCAGGGCCTCTCGGAGGCCGCCTCGCCCGGAGGATCGTCGCCCATGGAAGAGACGCCGCCACAGCACGCCCACGCGGGGGCCACGCCCATCGCGGCACGCTCCGGGTTTGTCACGCCCCTTCGACAGCGGCCACCCAATCCTGACTCGCGCTGCGGCCACGCGCCCAGAAACCACGCCTTCGTCGCGCTCCTCCCCGCCCACTCTCGTTCCCGCCTTTCTTCGCGCTCCAAGGGAGGTCACGCGCTCCTCGAAACACCGCCCCCCACACCGCCGCAGAGGCCACGCCTCCTTGACAGCGGAGCCCCAATCCTGACTCACGCTCCGGCAAAGGCTCCGCCCCCCTCAGCCCAGCCACGCCTTCCGCACGCTGCTCCCCCTCAGTCCCGCCGTCTTGGTGTTCCACGCGCTCCTCGCAACAACACCCCCACCCCCGCGCAGGCCACGCCCACTAGACAGCGGCCCTCAATCCTGACTCGCGCTCTGGCAAAGGCTCCGCCCCCCCCGCAGCCACGCCTTCCGCACGCTGCTCCGCTTCAGTCCCGCCTTCTTGTTGCTCCACGCGCTCCTCGCAACAACACCCCCACCCCCGCGCAGGCCACGCCCACTAGACAGCGGGCCCCAATCCTGACTCGCGCTCTGGCAAAGGCTCCGCCTCCCGCAGCCACGCCTTCCGCACGCTGCTCCCCCTCAGTCCCGTCTTCTTGGTGCTCCACGCGCTCCTCGCAAGAACACACCCACCCCCGCGCAGGCTACGCCCCCCAGACAGCGGGCTCCAATCCTGACTCGCGCTCTGGCAAAGGCTCCGCCCCCCCCGCAGCCACGCCTTCCGCACGCTGCTCCCCCTCAGTCCCGCCGCCTTCGCGCTCAAAGGAATGCCACGCGCTCCTCGCAACAACGCCCCCTCCCGCGCAGGCCACGCCCCTAGACAGCGCCCCCCCCCCAATCCCCGGCAAAGGTTCCGCCCGACGGGAAATCACACTTTCCTCACGCGCCTCCCCGTTCGCTACTCCCTCTCAGTTCTTCCCCGAGGCCACGCCCCCGTAGACAGCCGGTCCCAATCTTGATTCGCGCTTCAGAAAAGGCCCCGCCCCCGAAACCACGCGTTCCTCGCGCTCCTCCCCGCCTATTACTCCCCTTTGGTCCCTCCCCGGGCGGAGGCCCCGCCCCCTAGGCCGCCTGCCCCAATCCTTACTCGCGCCGCCCCTCCCAAGCCCGCCTTTTTTGAGCTCCACCTTCACTAGCGGAAGTTCCGCCCCCCAACGGCCTTCACCCTTTCACATCCGCTTTTGACAGCTTGACGCCCGGAAAGGAACCCTCGCCCTGCCGCTCCCCTCAAGTCCTCCGCCCCGCTTTTAACTTTTTTTTTTTTTTTTCATTTTCATTTTCATTTTC